GACCCAGAAACTATAGCTACAAATGTATCTATTAATTTTCCATTGACTCGAGTTCAAGATATTCTATTCAATTTAACTAATTTGTGGAAACTTCCACCGAAAAAATAAAAGACGACAAACATAATTTCAAGGTCAATCAAAGGTTATTAACAACAACTGACAAAAATATCAAGGAAAATTTTTCTCCCATTTTTATTTTCACTTTTTTTGTCTCTATCTCTGGTGGCGCTCTAGTTTTTATTTTGGCTACAGTTTCGGTTATTTTTTTTTGTATATATTTTATATATATTTTGACTTTTTTGTTCGGGTAGTGGAACTTTTATGCTGTCCATTAATAGGCCCTCTCCTATGCAATTAGCTCACGCAACCAGCTGAATAGCGAGATACAGATACATTTTGTTGTCGTTTGTATCTCACGGATACTTAAACAGCTGTTGTTATGCGTAGCCGGGTACTTGGAGCTAATTGAAGTCCACTGGGGTACTTGGGTGCCCTCCCCTTCTGCCAATTTATGCAAATTGAAGAAAGTTCATCATCAAGTTGGATGGATGACCCATAAAAGAATTCATACTCTATTTCCGTGTAGTTTTCCACTTCGACGCCAGCAAGTCAGGCTGACTAAATCGATTGTATTTGTTCACTTATCTATCCGCATGGAAACCCAATTATAGCCTTTAGCTATCAGGGATCAAACATATGTGTATATATATAGATTCCCATGCACATCTGGTGTGCAATGCAGTCCATCGATTCTATCTAGGTGGACATCAAAATAACAATAAACAACAGAATGCAAACAAATATCGTTTGGGCGTTCATTATCAAAGTCGCCATATAAAATATAGTATGTCTGGGTCTAGATCAGCTTTGGGCCTGGCCAGAAAGACCGCCAAATACGCTACATTCGCATGATGAACAGCTGTTGTCCCCACCACCGGCAGTTGAATGACTTGGGAAGCTTTTTATGGTTCTTCAGAGATTACTCATGGTTTGTTGTGGAGCCTCCCGCCATACCCGTGATTAGATAAGCTATATAGGTTATTAGCATTTCTTCATTTTTTTTTGGGTTGGGGGAGAAAGGTCATGCTTAGGATTCAATTTTTTCGATTAACAATCATAAATCTTATCACTATAATACTAATTTCATCAGCTACAAGAAAAAATACCCTACCAATATCAACCTGAAACAGCACTTCCTAATCCAGCATATCTTATCATCTAATAGCTGGCGAAATATTTGAAATCGATAGAGGCGTCTTAACCCCTTTCACCTACAAATATGCACACAGAAACACGCTCGGCAAACATTCTACAGAACAAAACTAATTAGAAATAGTTTCCACCAGATCAGGCATCTGACATGCGTTTGGGGCATAGATTACATAGAGTCCGGTGATAACAGCATACCTTGGAGCCGGAGCCGGTGCCGGTGCCGGTGCCCATTAGCCATTAACTGGCGACACTGTCGTCAATGCTTGCATGATTGGTGATCCGTGATCCGCCAGCGATAATGATTCCTTATTAGATTCATGCTTTGCCATGATGTTTACCCAGCATGGCCCGGCAAAGTGCAGGCCTGATGCACTCGATCGGTTTAGTTGATAGCCGCCGCCATGAAACAACAATATGTAGGGTGGTGCCCTCGTAACATCGATCGATCGTATCAAATCGAAACCAAGTGAATGCCTTCCTCTATTTATAGCTCTGGAGTTTGGGTGGGTTACCCTGAAATTAGCAACGATTCCCGGCGCCTGATAAGACCGGATTCCGTTGGGAACTGGGTGACCTTCTGCCCAAACATAACTAGGTCTTTCGGTCGTTAGCTAAGCGCCTCTTCTAATCAGCATTTTGCCGGAAAGATTAAGTTTCAGGTGCAATATGCACTGTACAGTTGAGCCTGGCCTGTGGGGACCTTGTACTTGGATCATCGCTGGGGATGGGCTTCATGATCCTCCACTCTCTCTTCTGTTACTCCTCTAAAAGGTCCTCCTCTATAAAGTCTTATAAAAGGATCAATTTTTAGACCCAACCTAACCACCCACTCTTGACCTATTTTTAGCGCGTTTACTACCTCTCCCTGGAGTACTACATGGGTCGCTCCCTCACCAACACCATGATCAATCTGGGCATCCAGAGCGAGTGCGAGGAGGCCATGTACCAGCTGGGTCTGGACATTGAGAACCTGGAGGAGATGGAGGAGGATGCTGGTCTGGGCAACGGTGGTCTCGGCCGCTTGGCTGCCTGCTTCCTCGACTCGATGGCCACCCTGGGTCTGGCCGCCTATGGCTATGGCATCCGTTACGAGTACGGCATCTTCGCCCAGAAGATCAAGAACGGCGAGCAGGTGGAGGAGCCCGATGACTGGCTGCGTTATGGCAATCCCTGGGAGAAGGCCCGTCCCGAGTTCATGCTGCCGATCAACTTCTACGGACGTGTCATCGATACGCCCGAGGGCAAGAAGTGGGTGGACACCCAGAGGGTCTTCGCCATGCCCTACGACAATCCCATTCCCGGTTACAACAACAACCACGTGAACACCCTGCGTCTGTGGTCCGCCAAGTCGCCCATTGACTTCAACCTGAAGTTCTGTAAGTCAACCATAGTCCTTGAAATATCCTTCGACTAACCTGATTCTGTTAATCCCTTCCAGTCAACGATGGTGACTACATCCAGGCCGTGCTGGACCGTAACCTGGCGGAGAACATTTCCCGTGTGCTGTACCCCAACGATAACTTCTTCGAGGGCAAGGAGCTGCGTCTGAAGCAGGAGTACTTCATGTGCGCCGCCACCCTCCAGGACATCATCCGCCGCTACAAGGCCTCGAAGTTCGGTTCCCGGGAGGCAGTCCGCAACAGCTTCGACCACTTCCCCGACAAGGTGGCCATCCAGCTGAACGACACCCATCCTTCGCTGGCTATTCCCGAGCTGATGCGCATCCTCGTCGACGAGGAGCACCTCGACTGGGAGAAGGCCTGGGACATCACCGTGAGGAGCTGCGCCTACACCAACCACACCGTACTGCCGGAGGCTCTGGAGCGCTGGCCCGTCTCCATGCTGGAGTCGATCCTGCCCCGCCATCTGCAGATCATCTACCACATCAACTTCCTGCACATGGAGAACGTGAAGAAGAAGTTCCCCGAGGATCTGGACCGTATGCGTCGCATGTCCCTGGTGGAGGAGGATGGCGAGAAGCGCATCAACATGGCGCATCTGTCCATTGTCGGCTCCCACGCCGTCAACGGTGTGGCCGCCATCCACTCGCAGATCCTGAAGGATTCCCTGTTCCACGACTTCTACGAAATGGATCCCAAGAAGTTCCAGAACAAGACCAACGGCATCACCCCCCGTCGTTGGTTGCTGCTCTGCAATCCGGGACTCTCCGATCTGATCGCCGAGAAGATCGGCGACGAGTGGCCCGTCCATCTCGACCAGCTGGTGGCCCTGAAGAAGTGGGCCAAGGACCCGAACTTCCAGAGGAACGTGGCCCGTGTCAAGCAGGAGAACAAGCTCAAGCTCGCCGCCATCCTGGAGAAGGACTACGGTGTCAAGGTGAACCCATCCTCGATGTTCGACATTCAGGTGAAGCGTATCCACGAGTACAAGCGCCAGCTGCTCAACTGCCTGCACATCATTACCCTGTACAACAGGATCAAGAAGGATCCCACCGCCAACTTCACTCCCAGGACAATCATGATCGGTGGCAAGGCCGCTCCCGGCTACTATGTGGCCAAGCAGATCATCAAGCTCATCTGCGCTGTCGGCAATGTGGTCAACAATGACCCCATCGTTGGCGACAAGCTGAAGGTCATCTTCCTGGAGAACTACCGCGTCACCCTGGCCGAAAAGATCATGCCCGGCCGCCGATCTTTCCGAGCAAATCTCCACCGCCGGCACAGAGGCCTCCGGCACCGGCAACATGAAGTTCCAGCTCAATGGAGCTCTCACCATCGGCACCCTGGACGGCGCCAATGTCGAGATGGCCGAGGAAATGGGCCTGGACAACATCTTCATCTTCGGCATGACCGTCGATGAGGTGGAGGCCCTCAAGAAGAAGGGCTACAATGCCTACGACTACTACAACTCCAACCCGGAGGTGAAACAGGTCATCGACCAGATCCAGGGCGGCTTCTTCAGCCCCGGCAATCCCAACGAGTTCAAGAACATTGCCGACATTCTGCTGAAGTACGACCACTACTACTTGCTGGCCGATTACGATGCCTACATCAAGGCCCAGGATCTGGTGTCCAAGACCTATCAGGTAATGACTCTTATAATAGGCTCAAGGTAATGACTCTAACTAATATTTTAAACTCCCTCTGTTTTTTAGAACCAAGCCAAGTGGCTGGAGATGTCCATCAACAACATTGCGTCCAGCGGAAAGTTCTCGTCGGATCGCACAATTGCGGAGTATGCCCGCGAGATCTGGGGTGTGGAGCCCACCTGGGAGAAGCTGCCGGCGCCGGAGGATCAGCCCCAGAACTAAATCAATTAACTAAATCACATTTTTTCGATATTATTTTTATTATTTATGTGCTTTACTTTTGTTAAAGTCAAAGTCCAATTTTTAGGCGCCAAAAAGCAACAACTAAAACTAACCAAGTAATCGCGGGCCTCCGTTGCCCGAATTGTTAATATTTTATTTAATAAAAATCCAATATAAACAATTCATTTCAATTCTCTCATCAATGTGGAAACGAATTAAGAAACAACAACAACAACGGTACCTACCTATTAAATTTAAAACTAAAAAACTAAAAAATATAAAAAGACCTCAGGAAAACTTTGAAAGTAAAAAAAATAAAGATATAAATTAGTGGAAAGCTTATTTAGATATTGGATATGCGTGTTTTTAAATCGAGATTAAACCTCAAGTTCACTGTTAAATGTAAAAAATAAAAAAAATTAAAATTGAATAAAATTTAATTCGAAATAAACTAAAGTTGGAGTTCTCAATGGGTTTTGCTTAAATATTCCCGACCCTGAAAAAAATAACAGAGTTCTTCTATATTTTACAGTTTAATTGTTTGGATTTTCTTTTTAAAATTAGTCACTAAAAAAATGGTAAACAGTTCAAAATAAGTTCTGATCCTTTGTTACAAAAGTTTCTATTTATAATTGGTGTGTCAACTTTGAAATTGTTTTAAAATTAAAGAAAATGCTTCTCTCGTTGCTCTTAAAATGGGGTGGGGAGGCAGAGCCAGGTCATCATGGCACACCATGCCCAGGATTGTGTTCTAGTAATTGACCCTAGATGAACGGGTTGACTTGCTAATCGTATACTGGCGATCCTCGCCGCGGGAACTGCCACCTCTCTCCCGGTCGAACTTCTCGTGGGAACGCTCTCGCGGTGACTTATCCTGCAGATTAAAAAGATTTAAAAATTATTAATTAAATTTAACTAGGATAATAAGCTAGGACACTCACCCTGTGACGCTCCCTATCACGACCTTCCTCTTCGCCATTTTGCGCTAAAATATATATGTTTTTTAATATTTTGATTATCCGATTAGTGGAATGGACCACTTACCCTCACGCCGACGCTTGTGATCACCGCTATTGGACTCCTCGGCACGATCCCGCTTACGACCCAGCTTGCGATCCTTGCGGGCATCACGCTCCTCCTCTGACAGCTTGTCCTTGTTGCGGTCTTTGGTTTTCAGGCCGCGCGCCTTCTTCACGCTGTCCACCAGTTCCTCCACCTTCTGAAACGGCACACAGGTTTAATGATTGTAGAAAAAACAAGAACATCCTTTTTTTTGAATATTATCTTCTATAAAATCTGGTTATGTTTTCAAAATGTTTTTTTTGTTAGTTTTTTATGGCCGATTTGAAGTAGACTGTGTTTGTGATGTGGCCCTAGCCCTAATCTCTGTTTTGGAGTACGAGTTTCGTACGTCATCGTCCTCGCGCAGTGTGTCCATCACTTACCCGCGGTTTCAAGTCTCAAAACACCAACGAAACAACAACTAAACCGCGCTGCCCGCCGGAATCGAGAGATTGGAGGGGTGTGATTAGTTCCATGGGGTCCTGCTTGTCCTGCTGGGGTTGGAGCAGGACAAGGACCATTGGCTCCTTGGTTTTACTTTTTCTTCTGCAACTAAACCACGCTGCCCGCATGAGTCGAGAGATCGAAGCGATGAGTAAAGTTCCAAAGGAATTCATTTCGATGCAGGTTCCATGATGGGCTATACGTCTTCTTCCGCAATTTTTTGAAGTTTTCAAAGTTTCCACAATGTTGTATGTTGTTGACAGGTAGGGGTTAACTTCGAGTTATGGCACTGCTTTTCCTCTATTGTCGTAAGAGACTTTTTGTTTTAATTTTTCCAGTAGAAAACAAATTAAAACTTTCTCTTGATTTATATTGTTTTGAGAGCATTGGCTTTCGAATGAGTATTTTGAGACAACTGGTAACTTGTCTGGTATTGGAAGATCATATATCCACACCTAGATATATTCATTAAATGGTTTAGATCTGGCTATTCGAAGGTTGTTTGAAGAAACTTTCTTGGGTCTCATTAATAGATTTTTGGCAACATTTTGTAGAGCTTTGGAACTATGGTTTTAAGGGCAGTTCCATTTATTTGTTTCTATTGCCTGATGATTTTTTCAGGGATTTTTTTGGCTGCTTTTTATGGCTTTTATTGATCTTTGAGTTTGTTTCCTTTCTATTCGTAGGTCCTTTCCTAGTTATCTTTTACACTCTCGGCGAGTCCGATTCGTCCTCGTCCATGCGACTCTTGGTTGTAGTCTTCGTGGTCCTGTCTAGATTTAAAGATTTTGAAGAAAGATTTGGAATCTAATAGATTTTGGAGCACGTTTTCCAACAATTGTAAAGCATTGGAACTGTGGTTTAAAGTTCAGTTCAATTGTATCTCCTTTTGTTTGATGATTTTGTAAGGGATTTCGTTGGCTTCCTTTTCGTCAGTCTTGATCTTTGAGTTTCCTTTCTTTTCCGAGAATCGTCTTTGTCTATTTGGGTCCTTGCCTATTTTCTTAGTGGTTCTGGCTTCCTTCAATAGATTTTTGGAGCATACTTTCCAAAAATTGTAAGGCTTTAGGGCTTTGTGGTTTACATGGCAGTTCCACTGTCGTGTTTTTTTGATGATTTTTTTAGTCTCATTGGACATCCTTTTGGTCAATCCTGGTCTTTGAGTATGTTTTCCTTCCTTGGTCCACGGAAAGTTTTCCTCGTCACTCTCGGCGAGATCCATCTATAGGCTCTTGGTTGTAGTCATCATGGTCCCGGTTCGTTTCGTTGTTTAAAAACGTGTCTTAAAACTACTTATAGCTACTATTCTACTAAAACTAATTTACAAAGTAGATAACAAAACAAAAATCCCAAACACCCCATAACATACAATAATAGTATACTTAGAAATATGGAAAATTGCAGGTGAGAAGAACATCCTTGTTGTCCAGTTAAAGCTGCTTATAATTTTTGTGGGTCAATGTTTCGGGATGATGGGTTTTTCGGTCGTTCACTCGATGGGCGCTTTTTTTAGTTTTGAAGTTGTTTTTGTGTGGATTTGTAACCTTGCTTGATTTTTTGAATTTATTTTTGGCATTTTCCCTCCATGCGACATCGATCGTTGTTATCGTCATTGTTGTTTTTGAAGTCTTACATTGTTGTCTTAGCGTACTTATGTCTGCACCATATGCTACTAACCTTTGAACTGCTGGACGATGACTCTATTTTGCGACGCTTGGAATCAACTATAAATAGAAAAAGTTATTAGTTTGGGATTTGGAAGTGAAACCCCAAAATCACTCACCTCTTTCGTACTCAATGGTCTCGTGACTGCGCTGACGATGTTGCATGGAACCATTGCTCTCATTGGATACGGAGCTAAGATCTCTATCCCGAACACCGCGACTCTCGTACTCGTCGTAGTGGCGATGATCATTGCCACCCACTAGATCCACAACTGCATCCGGGCCTTCGGTGTGCCGGTGACGCTCTTCACCACCACGCCGAGAACTCTTTTCACGCTTGATACCGCGCTGTTGGGACGCCTCCAATTCCTCCAGACGCTGAGAACGTTCACGCGACCGCTGATGCTGCTCGGCCTCCGTCTTCACCCTTACCGACTCCCTGGAGCTGCGATGGCTGGTAATGCTGCCGTGACGCTGCTCATGCTGATCCTGCTTCTCCCGTTCCAAGTCCCGGCTGCGGCTTTCCCTCTGGCTGCTTCCATTAGTCTGCTCCAGCGACTCCTCCTTGAAGCGAGGCTGAGAATCACGCGGCGCAGGCAGTTCACGTTGTTTGCTGTCCCGTTCCGTGCTGGATGAAGTCGATATGGACACCAGATTGGACGAGATGGGCTCACTTTTTGGGATCTTCGAATCACTACGTGTAAGAGAGACTAGAAAAATCAGATATTAGATTGGTTATCCAACCATTTTAAGGATTATCCACTTACCCGGCTTGACATCCTTGATGTCTGGCTTGACTTCAGTGCCGAAGAAAGAACCAGTTGCGGCCCCCGGCGGTTTGGCAGCCGCGCTTTGTACAGATCCCGAGATGGGTGAAGTTTTGTCGGAGGAAAGCACCTTGATCGGTGTACCACCAGTGGCACCACCAGTCGGTGGCGAGTCCTTGTTAGCCCTGTCCGCCAACTGATGGAAATCGCTCTCCTTCAGCATCTGCGAACTCCTCTGCTTCAGCTGTCCAATGTAGCTGGAGGCAATGACATACAAATCCGGCCGCTTTGTCTTCTCCTCCTCGCGCACCTTATCCACCTTCCGCTCGATGATCTGGGCCAGTTTGGCTAGTACCGGATAGTGCGGCAGGATGCGCATCAGGATGATCAGTGCATTGCGAATCTGCATGAAGTCCTTGGAGTCCAGGCAGAACACAATCGCCTTGGTGATCTTGTAGTGCCACTTGTGGCACACATGGCGATAGTTCTCGTACCCAACATGGTCGTTGGCCTCCGAGAATGTGTTGCTAACCCGGAACTTGGTCACGAAGCCGGGATAGTTGGCGCATTCCTTGTTGAAAACGGCCTGATCCGCATGCCATCGCATCACGGTCTCCAGCATGGCACACAGGAAGCGTCCGTAACGCGTGGCCTCGCCCTCGGTGCAGGAAGTAACCGAGTACGTGATGTCACAGAATATCTATCGCAGGATCAAGGCAAGATTAGCTCCAGGGACATCAGGGGCATATGGTAAAGGAAACTCACCCTATCGTAGCACAGCAGGGTGGAGAAATTCGATGTCTTGAGGTTGTGAATGGTGTGCACGAACTTGGCGCAGTACAGTGCATCCAAGGCAGTGAAGGTGCAGCGCGGGAAGAGGCAGAGTTGCAAGAACTGGGTGATGGTGTCGTTCTTGGCCGATTTGGCGGAGCGCAACAGGAACCAGCTGTCCTTCTGCTCCTGCAGTCGCTGCGAGATCTTGTCCACATGCTCGTGCTGCTTTTTCCGCTCATCGTTCAACTTCTCCATCAGGGCAATGTAGCGTTCCTGCTCCTTCTTGTTTTTGGACTGATTGGAGTCCTTGCCCTCGGCAGCCTGCTGTGCCAGTTGCTTCAGCTTACCGATCTCGCGCTGGTAGCTGTCGGTCGGCACGTGCAAATCGTACATGCTCAGGCTCCAGAAGGTAACCAAAAACTGGGGACTTATGTCCTCCCACACCTTGGCGCTGTGCAGCGGACGCACTGACTCCACAATGGGATTCATGATCAGCTGCGTGGCCTCCAGATACTTTTGCAGCTTCTGGACGGTGGTTAGCTTTTTGGCATTAGGATCCGCCTTCCGAAGCTGATCGTACTTTTGCTAAAATTTCATAATTAATTAATATTTTTTTAAAAATAAAATACTTTCCAGAACTCACATTTATCTGGTGCGTGAACATGGGCCTGGCCAAGAAGAAGGCCACATCCGTGTTGATGTGGTACTCCCGCAACATGGTAATGATCGAAGGCAGGCGCTCGACATACTCATCCACCGAGTAGGTGGACCCCAGAAATGTGCCAAACTGAACCAGTGTGTCCTGGCACTGATCGTATAGGTTGCCCACCAACTTCAAGTGGCTGTGCGCCGCCGTTTCGCGATAGATGACGCAATGCTTCTGCTGAGCCATCAGCAGGCAAATGGCAACGGCGAGATCATTGTTGGCCAGGGCCTCCTTCAAACGATTTGAGGACTTTTTCGTATTCCTCACTTGACTGAAGTAGCCAGCCTGAAGTGAGAATATTATGTAGAAATAGTTATAATGAATACTTTAAATAAATACCTCTCCCCTGAGCTGTTCTCCGCCGCACATGGCCTGCAGCTGGTCGTTGGTCATCTCCTCGCATGACTCCACACCCGCCATCTTATGTACAATCTCCCGTAGGATGAGCAGATCGAGGCTCTTTTGCGATTTCAGCTGATTGGCCACATACTGCAGTAAGCCGCTCAGCTCGATGCTATACTTCTTATAAATAGCACCGCAAAATGATGCCAAGCTCTGCAGCCACAAGGACAAGGAGGTGCCATCGTCCTTGAAGCGCAGGCGACCCGTCACGGTCAGCGATTCGATGATGCAGTAGCCAAGGCAGTCAAACGAGAGGGCTGTCAAGTATTTCAGCATGTCGCACACTGGCCCAATGAGATTGTCATAGATTTGGATTTGCAGAAGAATCTGGGAATGGGGACAGTAACACATTGAATACGATTCCTTTAAAAAAGAGTATCAGCATCCACTTACGTAGTCAAATAGTAGTCCGGGGGCACAGTGACTGTACTTGCCCACCAGACGACCCAAGGGCTTGACATTCTCCTTGCTGACACGTTTCATCAGCGCCTTGATATCCCGCTGGCCCAAGCCACATCGCCGAATCAGATTCGGATGTAGCTGATAGCTGTCGTTTTTCCAGCGCGCATACAAGCTGTAGCGGAAGTGATACGGAAAGAACTTCAACACCGCCCAGATCTCTTCGGACATGGAGCAGTTGCTGTCCAGATAGAGCAGGGAGGGCAAAATACACGCATCCAATGAGGTCATAATGTCATAGTAGTGCTGTTCCGCCTCCGTGTTTGGTGGCGGGCCATTTAAACTATCGACGCCCATGTCAGCCAGCAGTTTGCCCATGATGCGGATTAGTTTGTACATCAGCACGGTGTCGTAGTGCATTGATGGACCAAGGACATTGGCCATGGGCCAGGTATACTTTCGCAGATCTGAGAATTCCTTCGCCTGCATCTTGGCCAACAGCTTGACATCGTCGTACAAGCGACTACGGCTCTGTTTGCGACCAGCCGGTGGCTTGAAGACCTTTTTATAGTATATGTGCTCCAACGTCAGGTGAATTAAATCGCCAATTCCCCTAGCGATTGGCTCTTGATGGACAATGGCCTGCTCTGGAAGCTTCTGGATAATCTTGTAGGCATTCTCCCAGTCACCCACTTTAAGCAGCGCCTCGCAAAGACCAAACTTTTGATTTGCGTTGTACTTTTCCTCATCGAATTTCTTCACCGAGGGCGGAGGTGGTGGATCCTTGTCCTCCTCCTTCTTGTTGGTGGAAATCAGATTCAGCTTTCGCACCATTTCTCTGGCATCGGCCAACTCCTCGTCCCAATACGCCTTGATGCTGCCGTCATTTGGAGTCAGCCATACATACACATCGTTCAGTTCAATCACTCCATGCTTTAGCAGCAGGGCACAAACATGATACAGAGAGCGGGGCGTTTTGGAATCCTTGAAATGGCAGAACTTGTAGCCAAGAACCTCACAAATTATGGCACCAGTGGGCATATAGCTACGCAGCAGGGGAACAAATAATTGCCAGCGATCAGGCCGAGTTTCAAAAGATTCTATGATGATGTCTAGGACACGATTAGGATCCAGATTGAAGCAGCCTAAAGAAAAAAGCGATTGTATTAGAAATATTCTCAGTATGTCGGATGAGAAAGTACCTATAAGCGATTTAATAATGTCCATTATGCTTTCGGGTGTGGTATTCTCCTCAAAGTCCTGATTCAGCTCCGTTATGAGCTTGGCAAAGCCTTCACTCTCCTCGCGGAAAAGATTAAAACGACGTTGCTTATAACTATAAAAAGCGATTAAATATTATCATCTTCAAAGATTTAGTGATATTTTAATACATACTACAACTTTGTTTTGACCTTGATGAACTTTGAGTAGAAGCTCTTGTTCTTGACAATGCCCACTTCCTGCAGCGTGTCGATTTCCAAGCGCTCCTTCAGAAGGCTCTCGGGCACGACCTTGTCCATCTCCTTGACCAACAGCACAAAGGCATGACGCTCCTCTTGCAGACCTTCGGTCATCAGGGAAGTTTCACTGTCCAGAATATTCACCACATCGACAATCAGGCTTGGTAGTTGCTCGTGAAGAGACTGCAACGTTATGGAATTAGTTTCAAGTCTTGAAGTTGGCTTTTAGGTTTCAGCACTTACCACCACCTCCGCCAGTAGGTGCAGGACGATGTCCTTTTTGTGGGTGAAACGCAGCGCCTGCCATAGCAGCTCGTAAATGGCCTGCGAGACACCTTGCTTGAAAGCACCATTGCCGTCGTAGACGGGACTCTCCTTGGGGTCCTGCAGTTGACTTTTCAGGTACTTCAGGCTAAAAGGAAATTTGTTTAGAGTCATTCAGAGGCTGAGAAGCGGCAATCAATCGGCAGTTGGCGGGCAACAAACTGACAGCAGCCACTGTACTCTGCCCGCGTGTATGTATGTGTGTCTGCAGTTGCTGCATTCGCCTGTTCTACCGCCTGTAACTCCACGTACAATTCGCTACGTCCGTTCTTGTCAAAATGCTTGAAGATCTCCGGATTGAAGACGCCGGACTCTTGACCTCCACTACCGGTGCCGCTACCGTTTGCGTCCTTTTCTCCAGCTGTGTTCCGGTTTTCCGTTCCATCGCCGCCACCGCCGCCATCCTGCGTCGCGGTCAGGCTCTTCAGTTTCTTAAGTTTCCGCATGCGGTCTGTTTGTTCGAGCCGATCTCTCTATCGGTTCGCACTGCTTCCGCTTACAAAAACTTTGCTGTTACTTGTAAAAATATATTACAATTTTTACAAATTTTCACACTTTGCTGTTGAAGTAAAATTGCCCAGTGTGACCAAAGATCACAAACAAAATGTACTAAAGCGTATATATAAAAAAAATACTAGATCGATAAATTTTTGATTTCGATAACAAATGCTAAAAATGATTTTTTACCATAAAAATTTTGTTTGAGCTTCGATTTTAAATTAAACTCTTTCTTTATATTTAATATTAAATTTAAGTAATAAGACTTTAAATTCAATATCCAAAATATAAATATTTATTACGCACGTATTAAGAGTTTACTGTTTTCTAAAAAAAAAAACAATAAATAATCGTTGCAAGAACCATAAATGAATATATTTTTGAATAAGGCGCGGCTTAAAAGTTAAATTCTGGTTTCATTGTTCTTTTTCTAAAATCTATTTGATAATTGTGTTGCTTTGGGTTAACATAATATTTTAAAAGGAAATGTGATAGCATGTACTTAATAGAATAAGTACCATTATAAGTCAGAACTAATGAAACTTATATATTTTTGTAACATAATTTGTAAATATTTGCTTGTAAAGATACATTTAAATTTTGTGTTGGGTTTAAGTTTTCACATTGCGTGAATAATTATGTAAAGTAAAATCGTAAATATAAATTTGGATGAAGCGTTATGGGCAACCTCAAATCAGCTGCTCTTCCTCGATCTTCACATCGCACTCGATCATTGAACTGTCCACGAATGCATCCGAAGTGGCTAGATTCGAGTGGTTGCTGACATTCAGGTAGCTGGAATTTAAGAGACAGTTCATTTGGGCCGATTTCTCCTGCAAATTCGCATAACTGGAGTCCGGAGCGGGCGTAAGCCTCGGCAAACCGCCTCCACTCCGTCGTGTTCCGCCTACTGACTCTCTGGAGGGCTGCGGAGTCTGCGGCGAAGCCGGTGCCGGTGTCTCCTCTTTTTTAATCTCCACCAATGTTCTACTTATTTCCATACGGAACTTAAGATTGCCCATGTTCGATAGCGACTTCATGTGGGGCAGCAAGCTCACTAAGAAACTGTAGTCCGCATCGTCCTTAAGTGATGTATCGGCTGCGCTGGTTGGTGTCGTGGTCACAGATTGATTAAAGTGACCATTGGCAGTGGGTGGCCCGTCGTACGAAGACGAAGTCTTCCGGCGACGAATCCTCTTTGACGGCGGAGGCAACCGTGGAGGCTGATGGCTTTTGGGGGGAAAGTGCAAACGAGGTGACAAGTCCAAATCCGATTTTCTGGGCATTGGGCTATAACTCAGGGGCTTGATGAGCGACCCCGGGTCTGAGCCGGAGTCCCGGTGCTCCGAAGACTCCCTCTTGAAGATATCATCCATTATCTCAAAGTCCACTGAATCGTCGTTGTCTACGTCCACGTCGATTGTAAACTCATCGAGCAGCTTGCCGTCAGTGTACTCATCCGATAGTTCAGTGTCGAAATCGAAAGGCTCCGGCGGAAATGGGACTAGCTGTTGTGGGTCAAAGATGTGGCGCATGAACTCAAGGCACCGGAAATAGGGCCACTGAGACATAGAAATGCGCTTCTGCTGGATCTTACGCACTTCCGCCCGATAGCTATCCCTTAATCCCTTGAAGCGCTTCTTGCAGGTGGCAACTAAAAAATAAATTATCAAGATGCGTCCACATGGGGGGATTTATTTTTAGCACGCCAAGGAATGTCGTTGGACTGGGACACTTACCATCCTGTTTCATTATATGCGCCACGCAGGCCCAATGGATAATAAGCTCATCCCGACGATCTGAGACAGCAATGGTGGTGTCCCACAGGGGTCGCCGTTGAGCCACCTCGGCAATCAGCCGATAGTTGTCTGCCTTCATCATCGGCGTCGCCTTAAATTCTTGCCAAGCTAAACGAATGCAACGCAAAACTGCGGCGAGTAAACAAATATACTTTTGCTCGTTACGACTTTAAAGGCAACTACTTTAAGTGCCCAATAAATGATAACGATCCAGCCACTATCAGGCTATTCATTCCAGGGCTTCCAACACTCAAAGTTCTTTGTGAAAAAATGCAAACTCGCGAGGTCGAAAGAATTCGCCCGCAGCCCGCTTGGCTGGACTTCGCAGTAACGCAGGTGACAACTCTGGCTGCGATATAATGAACAGCTGCTGTCTATGGTGTTGCCAGAAAATCTAAATGTAGTGACTAAATAATAAACAATTATAATAAAATTTTTAACAAGAGAAATATAACTATGTAGACCTTTACAGAACTTAAGTAAAAATTCTACTTTTTAGTAAATGAAATTAAAAAAAAAGCTAGATTTATGGCTAAAATAAAACACTCCTAAATGGCAACACTGGCTAAGACATCCCCATCCACCAGCTGTTCTCAAATGATTCAGACAGCAAACAATTTTCGTAGCTCCGCCGGCTGTGGTTTTAAAACTCGATTTACAAACTAATTAGCCATGTCAAACTGTGGAGAGGATGGCAAGGAGGAGGATTTGCCTGCAAATACGCTGGAGCACTTCACCGAACTGGCCGAAGTGCTGGAGATGATCGACAACATCAAGTCGATTGAAGTGGCGTCTTTTGAAAGGGAGTTCGAACAGTACGCCCAAGTTTTGACCCGCTACCAAGAGCAGCCTCATCTGCTGGATCCTCATCTGGAGGTGCTGCTCAACAAGCTACTGGGAAAGATAAGGCAGCAGGATCTGCCAGCGGGGGAGCGCCATGCTGCCTTCAAGTATCTGTATATTATATCTAAAGTTCGCACCTACAAGGTCTTGGTGAAGTTTATGCCGCACGAGTTGAGCGACTTGGAGTTTGTGTTGGACCTGCTGGGGCAGCAGGATCCCAAGGAGTTTGCCCAGTGGGAGACACGCTACATATTGCTCCTCTGGATGTCCATACTGGTGTTGAATCCATTTCACATGTCCCGACTGGATGCCTACGAAACACCAACCACCAATTCAGTCAGTAATCACATCCAATCCAAGACCACCAAAATGGAACGTATCTACGAACTGATCCAGATCTACGTCTCCACCAACGACACATGTAGTAGCATGGCTGCTTACCTGGCGGCCAAGTATTTTGTCCGCAGCGACATAAAGGATCTGTACCTGGAGCGATTTCTTGACTGGATCATCGAGCAGCATCAGGCTGATACTGTGAACGTAAAGTTCGGCCAGCTGGCGGCTGTGGCTGCCATTCTGAAGCACGGAAAACGAGAGGATCTGCTACCGTATGCCGACAAGCTACTCCAGTGGATCACTTCCTGCCAATACAAGGATGGCAATGACTTTTTAAAGTACAAGAACTATGTGAAGATCATTCAGAGGATTGGTCTCGTACACCTCAAGCCACGCATTGCTAGTTGGCGCTATAAAAGGGGTAAGTATTGAGGGAAATTACGACTCGCAGCGATGGCTAATTCTGTTTATTTTAGGCACCCGTTCCTTGGCCACCAATCTTCGCCAGGCTGCAGGAGCTGGTGGCGAATCGACAGCCGCCATGGAGAGTTCCCTGGACGAGGGCGAAGAGATTCTGGTGCCCGATGCCATCGAGGAAGTAATCGAGGAGCTGCTCCAGGCTCTGCGTAGCGGGGGAAATGACATTCGATGGAGTGCGGCCAAGGGGCTGGGTCGGGTAACCAATCGTTTGCCCAAAGAGCTGGCCGACGAGGTGATTGGATCGGTGATTGATATCCTCAATCCCTTGGAACCCCACGAGGCCTGGCACGGCGGCTGCTTGGCCCTCGCCGAGTTGGCCAAAAGGGGATTGCTTTTGCCCCACCGATTGGAGGAGCTAGTGCCGCTATTGATGCAAGCCCTTTTCTACGACGAGATGAAGGGCTACATGTCGGTGGGGCAGCATATCCGGGACTCGGCCTGCTACATGTGCTGGGCATTTGCCAGGGCCTACAACCCGGACGACCTCAAGCCTTTTGTTCACAAGATCTCGTCTGGATTGCTGACAGTGGCTGTCTTCGATCGAGAAGTGAACTGCAGACGCGCTGCATCGGCCGCCTTTCAGGAGAGCGTGGGTCGGCTGGGCAACTTCCCATTTGGCATCGAGATCTCCACCACCACGGACTTCTACTCCGTGGGCATACGCCAGAACTCCTATCTGAACATAAGCGATTACATTGCCCAGTTTGAGGTTTATAGGGAACCACTGATTAATCACCTAGTCCAGCGTAAGGTGAATCACTGGGACCTGAGCATCCGGGACCTCACCGCCAAGGCCCTGCACAAGCTGTCGCTCAAGGAGCCGGAATATATGGCGGCTGTTGTGCTGCCGCAGCTTTTGGCGAAGACGGACACCATTGACATTAATTGCCGACATGGTTGCGTCCTGGCCATGGGCGAGATAACCCTGGCGCTGAGGGATTTGGAGCAAAAGAGCGGAAACTCTGTGGCCTACCTTTCTAACCAACGAATTGTGGAACTGAACGAACTGGTACAATCGTTCCTGGACAGGAACTTCTATCGCGGAATGAGCGGTGAGCTGATGAAGTCCTGCACCACCAACTTTATCAAAAATTGCAGTCTGGCCAAGCTGCAGGTCACTCCAGAGTGCTTGGGTAAGTATTGGTATAGCTATTTTCCTTTTTTAAAGGATTTCTAATTTCCTTCTTGTTTTAGCTTCCTGGCAAAAAGTCATAGACTCCTGTTTGGTCACCAAAACAAACTCCATTCGCTCCTCGGCCGTGGAAGCCTTTGCCGAGCTCTGTCGCTCCTATTATGGCTCAGAGTCCAGGCTAAGCCAGGACAACGAGGCCATCATAAGTGCCTATTTGAAGGGAGCCGAGAACGATCTAGAGGAGCACATCCGCATGGGCTATATTGCAGCTCTGGGAGTACTGCCCGACTTCATGATTCGTCCACATCTCCACAGGATCTTGGACAGTCTGGTGAAGCATTCACTAACGCCCCTGCAGGCGGTCCTGGTTGGTGAAATGGGCGGTGATCGCGAGAACATCCAGGCCTACAGGTGGAGCGAAGCTAGAACTGAGAGTGTCAAGGCCCTAACCAAAGTAGTTAAAACTGTGGGCTACGAGGGAGGATTAGGTAATGCCTTATTCGTTGAATAGTTTGCCATATTTTAAGGACATTGTATCTTATAGATTCCTTTTCGGAGCGTGGAAACTTCAACAAAGTTATAGATTGTTTGCTGAAAGCTTTGGATGAATATACTCTGGATAACCGTGGCGATATCGGTGCTTGGGTGCGTGAAGCAGCCATGTCCTCGCTCTATGAGATCGTGACTGAGTGTCCGAAGGAGCTTCTCTCCTCGGAGCATGTCCACAATATCGTTGTGGGTTTCATGCAGCAAGCAGTTGAGAAAATAGACCGCACGCGAGGATTAGGTGGACGTCTTGCCTGTCAACTGGTACATCATCAGCCGAGGATTCCGCATATACGGGCGCATGTAAAGCTATTGGAGATTTTCCCGGAAGATGCCAATACTGTTCTGTGGCTTTTCGCCGACCACACATTCCCTTTGTTCTGTGAGCTGCTAGCTCTCCCGGATTACTCTAAAAGGGTACTCCTGGGACTGTCGGCCAGTATTGGACAACTGACTGAATCTCTAGTGGGTTGCATCTATCTAGAATTTTCTTATAATTCTTAAAATATTCATTATTTTTTCAGATTAAGTACGCCTCGACGGCTCTATTCCAGTTTTTGCGTTCCAATCCCGACACAGTGCCACGTCTGTGCTCCGAAATTGTGGAAATTTTCGAGGAAAACCTCCTAAACGAGCGTGTAACGTATCCTATTCTTAGTTTCCTGGACATACTCATTGGTTCCGGCACCGTGGAATCCGTACTGCACGACGAAACTCATCCATTTGCCGAGGATATCTTCCGGCTACTAAATCTGGAGGTTAAGGGATACAAGAAGCTCTACAAGACCGCGACCAGTATTAGTGCCTACTGTCAGCTGCTTCAGGTGACGCGTCTAAGCCGACGAATCCTCTCCAAGCTCTCAGTATTCCTGGGCCTGCAGCATGTCCATGTCCGCAAAACGGCAGCCACCAAATTGTACGAAGCCTTAGCTCTGCACGGAGATGTGACTGAGATACCAGAGGATAATATTGATGAGATCCTGACCCTGCTCTCTGAAACAGATTGGACCATGCCGCTGGTGGAAGTACGTCCACTGCGCAATCAACTATGCCACCTGATGGGCATCAAGGCACCTGTGAGCGGCGCAGCTGCAACGGCTTTGCAACAAACCAATGCCGATAAATGAGATTTAATTTAGGATTTAATTAACTTAACTAACTAAAGATAATTTATCTTTTTTTTGCACAAATATACAGAAGCATGGTCTTTGAGAAACATTTACATTTATTTAATGGCACTTTTCCAAATTAAAATTGAGGTTCATAAGCATTAAACAGAGTTCTTAGTCCTAATTAAAAATTAACATTTAACCAGTATATGTTAAATTCATATAGTTTTTCCTTGATGGTATTCAGTTCCTCCAAGTTTTTCAATCTCAACAAGTAGCCTCCCATTTGGCTACAAGTGTTTGCAGAATTATTTAGTGTAGAACTATTAATATAGAAATATTTTGGATGGATTGCTTCTGTGCGTCTAGGAACTTTTGCTTGAATACTATTAACTAAATAATCCAGTGGGAGCTGCGGATCCTTTCCATCAAATTCCCTCTCCGTGGATTCCAGAAATTTTTGAAGTTGTAACATGGTTTCTCGAAGATTTTTCGGTTGGCCTTCCGCTCTGTTGGTGGCTGCCTCATTTGTTTCGGAAAGTCCGAAGGGTTCCAAGGCCTTCATTTTGGTTTCAATTGAAACCTCAGGATCCATCAGGGATTCCTTCAAACGAGTCTGACCATTTGGGAAATTTCGAGAGCCCGTACTGTAATCCAGAATCCTTTTCAAGGCTGTCAAGCAGAACTCGCCGCAATCTCGTCGTGGGTTCAGGATAACGCACACCGATGTTGTCGGCTCCCGACGATCTGCCAAGGATCCTTTAAAATGGCACGCCATACAGGCGAAAACTAGAAATATCCCAAGCTGCAGCATTCTGATTATTCGGTTTCAACAATGCGTCAGACTTCCAAGTAATCTTTTTTTTTTTTTTTTAATTTTTTGGGTTTTTTTAAGACTTGTTATCAGATGAATATTATATATTTAAATGTGTGGCTTTAGGAGGGCGGCAAATATTAGGTATTTTTGTTTTTATATTAATTTTAATTGATTTTGATGGGATCTATAAATGAAAAATGATCGTGTTTTTGAGGCTTTCTTCAGAGATTTTAAATAAAGGGGGAAGTGCATTAAGCAGGGCTTAAAAATTACATATACGAGGAATAGTTTTTTTTTGTTATTAAATTAAATAAATTTTAATTCTTACCACTTTAAAGCATTGCTTGTAAAATCTGTTTATATTTTTTAATTTCTTTATTTAAATAAAAATTTTCTCAGCCCTTTTAATGATCTCCTCCTTGTTTTGGCTTGAATTACAGTCAGCTGATGACTCAGTGTGACCATATTTTAGGCCGGAAATTTAAATATTTTATAAAAAAACGACCTCCTACTTGATGGAATGATATTTTTTAGAAACTTTAACGACGTTTGATGCGTTTTATCTTTTTTAAATGATTCTGGACTGTTACATGTGATACGTTGAGCTTTTCTCCCATTTGTCGGGTGGTATACCGACGCTTTTCCTTGAGCAATGCCTTGATTTGGTCCTCATTAACAGCCGATGGTCGTCCACTTCGTGGTGCATCCTCGAAGCTGAAATCTCCTTCACGGAACTTGGCGAACCAACGCTGGCATTGGCGTTCACTCAGTGCATCCTCGCCATAAACGTCACATAGTTTCTTTCGCGCTTGGGTGGCATTTTTTCCTTTTCTAAAGTAAAATAACAAAATATGTCGATAATGCTCAGTCAGGATAACCATCCTGTGGCCTTGTTTACACAAATTTTCGTCCTGACTTGCATGCTTTTCACGCTTTCCAACACTGAACATCGAGGGCCACCCATCGGCTTATCGAAATCCAAAGTCGATGTTGTTGCTCCACCTCTATTGCTGTGACATATTAATTAAAATCATTTTTTCATAACATTAGCACAGTAGGAGCGGAGAAAAACAACAACAATACGAAGCTAGGACAGATACAAATTAAATTTAAATTTTTCATAGAAATTACTTTATTTTTTCACACACACACGCCCGCTTACACACGTTTGTTCAGAGACGGAGACAGAAATTACGGAGAACATAAAATCAAAATGAGTATTTTAAGTGTGCGCTATCTGGTCCAGAAGTTCATCCGCCAGGCAAACATATTGGCCAACAGGCGGGTACTGGGGCCCACGGTCCAGCGACCGCCACCGGCGTACGGTAAGTGAGGTTATGTCCCGCCGTTACATGCCTTTTGGTCACTGTTTTGGCCAATTTTTGAATGAAAACATGGACACTAATGGTTGTCCTTGGATTATTTCAGGTTCTCTCCGGTCGGCACACAGCAGCCTGTATCAAATGGTAAAGAAACGCACTCTCGAGGCGCGCACCAAAATGCAAGCCAATAAATATCCCAACAATCAAGCCTGCGTAACCACACCAGTCGCCAGCGAGTGCGAAGAGAATGTGGATACCACCAATCCCGTCCCACCGATACCGTTCGCCACCACCTCAACCACTGCCACTTCCAACTTTCAAGCTCCCGCCCAAGTCGATCCACTGTTCAAAGTGGTATTCCATCACTTCATCTCATCTCATTCCATTCATTTGCTTGGAAAGGGGGAGAAGGGTTTTGTATAAGTGGAACCAACTGCTTGGGAAAACCCTTCTCCTCCTTTGAAGATGTTGCTTTCATTAAGAACTATCCTTAAAATCCTTAATCTTTTAGGGCTTTGCCGACTGCAAGAGCATCTGTAGTGCCAAGGAGGTCCTGAAGTCATCGGACTGCGAGACACACACTTCTGCCCCCCATATGGATGTCTGCAAACCAAAGTCTGCCTGCGAAGAGTTCAAGCGCAAAAGGCAGGAGACGAGTTGCAATGATGATGGCGGTTCCGATGGAAAAGATGGCGAGGATGAGTGCGAGTGCCGGATGAAGGATTTGCGTTTCAAGTGTATCCTGGGTGCACTGGCTGCCCTGCTAGCTGGAGGATTTGTATGTTAAGCCAAAGACGATTTTTTGAAATATTCTTATATAAGATACTATGTTCTTTTCCAGCTGGCTTGGTTCCTTGCTCGTGTAACAGATGACACCGAAGCCAACAGGATACGGGACGAGATGGACCGAAAGAAACGTAACCTGGTAGCTGGATTAGTCACAAGTAAGCATGGCTACCTCATTATCCAGAAGTTTCCAAGCATAATTTCATTATTGCAACTCATTATTTCATAACCTCGAAAAGATAGCCACTATCTTTAACCAGATAATCAATTACATTAATTCGTCCTCTTTTTCAGGTCCACCCAGTTCCGAATCCCTGCCAAAGCATGTCCCGTACCTGATCATCGGCGGCGGCACCGCTGCTTTCTCCGCCTTCCGTGCCATCAAGTCCAACGATGCTACCGCAAAAGTGCTGATGATCAGCAACGAGTTCCGCAAGCCCTACATGCGTCCGCCCCTGTCCAAGGAGCTCTGGTATACGCCCAACCCCAACGAGGATCCCATCAAGGACTATCGCTTTAAGCAGTGGACGGGCTCCGAGAGGAGGTGGGTCTGTTCTTAGTGAACATTTCAGAAAGTTTTCTCAACTCGCTTGTCTTTCTAGCTTGTTTTTCGAACCAGACGAGTTCTTTGTAGATCCGGAGCACCTGGCGGACAGTAGCAATGGTGGAATATCTGTGGCTCAGGGATTCGCCGTCAAGAAAGTGGACGCCCAGAAGCGCATTGTGACGCTAAACGATGGCTATCAGATCTCGTACGATACATGCCTTATTGCCACCGGTTGCTCGCCAAAGAACCTGGACATGTTCCGCGACGCATCGCCCAGTGTTAAGGAAAAGGTGATGGTGTATCGCACCCCGGACGACTTTGATCGACTGCGTCGCCTGGCGGCGGAGAAGCGATCGATTACCATTGTGGGTAATGGCTTCATTGGCAGCGAGCTGGCCTGCTCCCTGGCCCATTACGCCAAGGAGAACAATGGCGGCAAAGTCTATCAGGTGTTCCAGGAGGAGGGCAACATGTCGAGGGTCCTGCCGAAGTATCTTAGCCGTTGGACAATGTCCAAGATGGAAGCCCAGGGCGTTTGCGTCATCCCGAATGCCAGTGTTAAGGCCGCGACGCGAGACAATAACAATCTTAAGTTGGAGCTTAACAATGGCATGACCCTCATGTCGGACGTGGTGGTCGTCTGTGTGGGCTGCTCCGCCAACACGGAGCTGGCGAGTCCTAGCAGTCTAGAAGTGGATCGCAGCTTGGGCGGCTTCGTGGTTAATGCTGAGCTGGAGGCCAGAACAAATCTGTATGTGGCCGGAGATGCTTCCTGCTTTTACGATCCACTTCTGGGCAGAAGACGAGTCGAGCACCATGATCACTCCGTTGTCTCTGGTCGTTTGGCCGGTGAGAACATGACTGGAGCCAGTAAGTAACATATAACTACTCCAGGATTTTTAATCTGATTCCTTGTGGCTTGCAGAGAAACCGTATCAGCATCAGAGCATGTTCTGGTCGGATCTGGGTCCAGAGATTGGCTACGAAGGAATCGGTCTGGTTGACTCTTCGCTGCCCACAGTCGGTGTGTTTGCCTTGCCAACGAATGTGGCCAAGCGGGTGGACAAGCTGCCCGAGTCGCCGGAGAACCAGGGCTCCCAGAGCTCGGATAGCTCGTCGCTGGAGAAGAGTGACAAGCCCGGTGTTACCTGTGATCCCGAAGAATCGGAAAACTATGGCAAAGGTGTAATCTTCTATTTGAAAAACGATAAAGTCGTTGGCATTCTGCTGTGGAATCTTTTCAATCGAATAGGATTAGCTAGGACGATAATCAATCAGAATGCAAAGTACGATGACCTCAACGAGGTGGCCAAGCTGTTCGAGATCCACGCGTAGAGCACCGAGTGTCCCCCCAGTGGAGTGGACATAGAAACAAATATCCTGGAATGCAAATCAGCCGCCGCCACCGAACAGAAATCAGAGTTTAGCATTTAAATCTGTGTGTTTCTAACGCAATATACATATATACGAAAAGCTAATCTGAAACTGGATACGAACGGCAACGGCACAATGCAACAGAAATTTTAGTTTTATTATTTTTGAAGTAAATCCCATTTTTTTTTTTATAATCAACGACGACATTCATTTGGTGTATCTGCATGTAAATATTTTAAGAGACGTGGATACGCGGTCATCTGTTGAGGATTTCTGTGCCTTTCTTTTCCTAATAAACAATGGCTTTGGACGCACACATCTAGTATCTTGAAATGTTGCATTTGAAGTGTATCAGTTATACCTTAATTGTTTCAATAGATTTAAGCGTTATTATCCTCAGCGTAATTCTAATAAAAATAGGAATTGTTAAACCCAATTCTCCCAGACTGGGAGATCTGTTGCTGTAATAAATGTTTCTACCTAACAAGTTTCTCTGTAAATCGAAGTACCTTTCAAATCTCAGTTTTTAAGTCAAAAGTAAGGCTGTCAAAAAAATAGATTTTACTACCTTGGGATATTCCAAGTTATACCTCGATCTAAGTCTTATAGAAAGTAGGGCCATCTGCCCAGAAAAGGATTGCACCTGGCTTATTAGGGTGGCGCAGATTAGCGACCAATAGGTAGGTAGAAATCCGCTAATATTAAGGATCATACCTGACACCATACCTGTAGGTGTATAAAAGCTAACCCCCGATCTGGGCAGGACATCAGTTTCATCTCGACTCTTGCACCATGAAGTACCGCATGTTGAACAAACGCAAACAGGCCTCTCCTTCCCCCGTGAGGGAGTCGGAGCCCGAAGTAGAGGAGAAGCCCACTCAGCAACCCACCCACAGTGCCCTGGAGTTCGAGGCAGCTGCTGCCCTCCTGATGCTTCGCTACCAGTACGATCGTCAGATCTGTCATCGCATCATGTCCTACACAGAGACACGGTCCCCGACTCCACCGCCAGTGGTGGCCGACAATACCACGCCCAAGGATCAGGCTATACGCCCCCCGGTGGCCACTCAACCGCTGAAGAAACGCTCCATACCATCGCATCTGCTGAGACGATCCCTGACACCGGCCAAGTCCCTGACCGCGGTGACCAATACCTCGATAGTGAAGGCCAAGACCAGGACTCCGGTGCCCGGGGCTGAGCGCAGCCACAATAGGGCACTCCTCAAGTCCTGCCGGAATATGATACGCGAGTTTTTGGACAACACCGATTTCATTTAACTTTCATTTAAAAACTTTCCTAAAATATTAATAATTTTAAACCCAGTTTTTAGAAACACCGCTCGATACCCCCACGCACGATATAATCAAGAATTGTAAAACAGAATTTGTGATCAAAAATCGAAAAATATTATAACCAAAAAAAAAGTAATAACACAAATAACTGGATTGGATTTCATTTTTCAATTTATTTATTGCATATAAATTTGTTTCTTTTTTTTTATACATATATAAATTATGTATTGATCGAAAGTTAAAGTTTTCAATGGAAGAACAGGTATTGTGGCGACACTAGAGTGCTAATTATTAGCTATTGGCGGTGTTTAAACTTAAAGCGTACGAAAAAACAAATAGAAAATTATTTTTAGCATAGATCCTACACAATAATTAATAATTACAGTTGTTGCGCTACAATCTAAAAACTTATGAACGTGCATTGATGATATCGCTCCTTCTCGATTAATATAATTAATAAAGTGCTTCAAAATGTACATTTTCTATTGTTTTTCTTTTTTTTCTTTCAATATTCTTGTAGCAGAAGGGTGGTGGTGGGTGGTTGGTTGGTTGGTAAGATCGTAAGCGTTTTAAAAACTAAAATTGTTAATCCTTAAATGAACACCATCTGTGCTGGGCTGGACCTTTCAACTGCAGCCACTTAAACTAACATACAAATTAAAATAATGATATTAATAATAAATGAAAACTAATATGTGTATACATATATATGCTTGTATATATAAAAAATGGAAGCCAATTATGTTCTTAATGATGAATTCTTCTTGATGAATTATTTCTTTCTACGGCTAGGGGGGCTCAATTGAAATTGAATTTTGAAAGCTCTCTTCTTGGCCTGATCTGGTAGGGAACTGTTGCAGCTTCGCCCTTCTCTCTCTCTAGGATCACTTGGCCAATTTGAATCAAAGATATATCTGTTCTGTTATCACAAGAAATCAATTTGCCATTTTGCATACAAAAAAACTCCTTCCTATGCAGACTTGTATATTAATTAACAATTTCGCCAACAATTCAAATTTTCATTATTCTTTCATGTGTGTGTGTGTGTGGGTTGGTGTTTTTTTTTTTTAACAATGTTTTGCATTTTTTTGTTTTCATAAATTTGAAACCATTGTTGAGGCAACATTTGTAAAGCTCAAAGGTGGCAACACTTATAGTCTAATCGCTACTCGCTAGAATTACTCGTTACTCGCTACTCGTATGATTGATGTAATCGCTTAAGCTTAAATGTTTTTCGTTTTTTTTCTCTTATGTTTTGTTTGATAAATGTAGAAATTGGCACATAATCGAAGGCTGCGCTGCGCCGGCTCAAGAATTCTACTTAAAATAATCAAAATTACATGATCTCTTCTTAGTTTAAACTTAATAAATATGTTTGATGTATGTAAGCATGTATGTATGTATGTATGGTTTTGTTAATGCAATTATGTATGTTTGTATGTATGGTGTGTGTGTGTGGTTTTTTTTCTATTTACAGAAAGTTGGGTTGTTAGGGATGGTACATACGACAGGATCTTGAAGGATACCAAGTAAAGGATATTTCTTCCAAAATATCTAATAAACTGAACAAATGAGTATTGGTCTTCAAAAACATACACGATTTTAGATAAACTTTAAAGAATACTTTAAGATCCTATCTATATACTAGGCCACACAACCCAACTAGAAGGCATCCAGATCCATGTACGTCCATTGTCTGTGCGCTCTTTGTGCTGGTCCCTATTTTTATACTTTTTTTTTTAGAATCAGGTAATGTTGTGTATGTGCTCGGGGATGGGTGGTGGGTGGATGGTGGATAGATGGAGGAAGAAAGGCGATTGTCACAGGATTCTGCTCTGCTCCGCCTACTGCCGCATGTGACGGAACGAGTCCTCGGACTCGCCCCCATTGCAATCGCTGTCCATGGGCACGGGCTGGGCCTGTTCACTGGCCTGCTCCATGGGCCTGGGTGAACTGCTCTCGACGGTGGACTGCTGATCCTCGGTCTTGGGCGACTGCTCAGCTGGCGAGTGATCGTTGTAGCGTATCAGCTTGATGGTGGTGAGGCCGTCAGCATTCCGGATGAGTCTGTTTTGGATGAGGATAAGGATTAGTAATGGTCCTACTCCCTGTTTAAAAACTAAAAACCTACGGGTAGCAATCCTCGTTGCTGGTGGCGTTGCTTTTGCTGCTCACACTCAGATCCGTGGGCTTCAGATCCTCGCCGGCGCTTTCCGAGCCCGAACCCGATCCCGAATTGTTCTCCAGCTTCAGCGGATGGAACTGGAACTTGTCGGGGCCGCCGACGGCGGAGGGGGTGTTCAGGGCAGGGGAGTTGGGCGGCGGTCCAGCTGCCGCCGCCGACAAGTAGTGGAAGGCACCGTTGATCGCGTGCATGAAGAGTGGCGATGTGGGCGGCGGACCATAGGCGGCGGCAGCTGCTGCCGCCACTGCTGCAACGGCTGGCAGGCTCATCGGTCCATTCCGGGAGGGCGGACGCTGGGGCGACTGCTGTTGTGGCTGTTGCTGGTTCTGCTGCTGCTGCTGCTGGGCGCTCCAGTTCTGAGCAGCCGGACTTCCGGGCGCCTGGCTGCCACCCTGCGGCATGGCAGAGGCACCTCCATTGCCCGACGCCGGCGTCGTCTGGCGCAGCAGCGATATATTTTTGATGTTCTTGAGCTCCGTGGGGTTGCGCAGGAACTGGTAGCAATGCCGCTCGCCCTGCACCTTCCGCAGAATGTTGACGCGGTAGTAGTAGCGCAGAGCGCGCGACATCTTGTCGTAGTTCATGGACAGATGGTTCTTCTGGATGCCCCACAGCTTGGCCAGTCCGGCGGGATCGACGATCTTGAAGACTCCCGTATCGCGGCACTTCCAGGCTATCAGATCGCTGTACTTCTGGTTCCGATCGTTCAGCAGCTGCTGCAGGAAGTCCCACAACAGGCGGCCATCTAGAGAAGAACAACATGAGTAAGTCCGTTTCGGATGCAGGAGGTCAGGTGATGAATACTCACTTGTGTTGGGCTCCGAGTTCTCGGGGAAGAACTCGCGCTTGTTCTTGTACATGTAACTGGGCGTGGTCGGGGCGGAGATGGATCCTCCGGCGGGGGCCACCACTGGGCCAGCTGTGTTATCCAGTGTCAGCTTCTGGGGCTGCTGCTGCTGCTGCAACTGTTGCTGCTGGGCCTGGACCGCTGCGGCTGCTGCTGCTGCCGCCGCCGCTGCAGCCTGTTGCTGCTGTTGTTGTTGCTGTTGCTGCTGCTGCGACCAGGAGTTCACAAAGCTATTCGTCAGCTGCTGCGACCAGTTGGGCTTGATGTCTTTCAAAATGGGCGTGCCCGGCGGACTGGCCGTGCTGTAGGAGAGCGGAGCCGGCGGCATCTTGCCCACTCCGGCGCTCGTCTCGGAGAACTCCTCCTCGGAGTCCGAGTGATTGCTGCTGGCACTGCTGATGCCCTTCATGGGCATTATCATCTGTGGCTGGGAGCCATTGCTGGCGGTGCTGCTGGCGCTCGAAGATGCTGTGTTGCTGCTAGTCGGGACTCCAGCACCCGATGCTCCTCCGGCTGTTGTTGTAGATCCACCAGCGTTCGCTGATCCTCCGCTGCCTGCTCCAGGGGCTCCTCCTCCATTCTGATACGGCGCCTGGGGTGGACTACTCGCCTGGGAGTCAACTGACGGCGGCGGGCTGAGGGTAACCGAGTTGGGTGCCATGAAGTGATGACCCGCCAGACCGTGGGCCGAACTGTGGAAGGGACTGCTCTCGGGCGGAGCATTGAGCGGCGGCCACGTGGGCGTCGGCGGATGGCTGTGCGGCGACAGGGGATAACGACTGGTTGGCGTCACTGGGCTGTTGGGCAGGTGCCACTGCATCATGTGCGACTCGATGATCAGCATCTGCAGTACATTGTGCAGAACATCGCCAGCACCCGGACACCGATGGCCGAAATCCGCACGCGTTAGTAGGCACAGCGCCTTGCCGTTCATCTGGAAGAGATCAAAGTCGAGCTTTGGGAGATCGAATTCGCGGACACAGAAACGCAGGAAGACGAGCACATCCTCGCGACTCCAGAGGCGCGGATCGGAGGGCAGGGATGGGGGCAGCTGTGTCTTCAGCTCCGCCAGCTGACTGGAGGGCGCTGGGGGGCAGCGCCACAGAACATCGCTCCAGATGCCGGGATTCAGCTGGTTCAACGATAACTGTACTGGGAGCATTTTCATTTTGGACATGCAGCCAGTGTGTGTAAGGAAGTGTTTCTGTTTTCGTGGATCAACGGATCTCAATCCGTATCAAGTCTTTAGTGGTAGCCACTAGAGTTGCCCTACGATGCGGTATCTGTAAGAATAATAACAAAAAATGTATCTGTTAGTTGAAGATGAAACAAATATCTTAAAGATAGCTATATAGATGCTGTAGGAAAAGTACCAATAGTTCGGGCACGTTTCAAAGTTCAACTGTTGGGAAATCTTTATCCAAAAGGATGTTGGTGGCTGGGGATTACTCGGCACACTTCCGCCACAGAAATATTTGAGCAGACACATCACCTAGCACCGATCCGAGAGAGGTATATATAACCGCTCCCAGACGCCGCCACACATACCGATCCGATCCGATCCGATCTGATCCCATAGAGCAGCAGGAGAGCAGGAGAGCGGCGGCACTCAGACAGACATTCGCATTCCAACCAAATCAGATTTCTTCATAATCGTCGCGGGCCAGCCGATGGATGAAATAAACAAATAATATATCTCAGATGCGGACGCGGATTCGGGCGCAACAACAACAACAATAACAATAACAAGACGTAGAGGAGACGCGCAACCGATCTATCAGAGTGTGTGTGTGTGTGTGTGTCAGATACTATGGCTGGCAAACGCATCCGATCACTACTTGGCCTAAACTGGCGGCCGGACCTGAATCTCTCCGAGCTGAGAGCGTGACTCACTGGCAGAGGAGCGCCGGCAGAGGATCAAGCAGCGCTGGCAGAGCAGAGCAGTCAGGCACTCGATCTCTCTCGCGCAGCGGGCATCTTCAGCGGCAGCAGCCAAGCACACCCCCGCAGCGACCGCGGCGCAGGCAGAGCTCCAGAGCAAGAAAACTAAGAGAAGATCTCTTCCCAAAGAAGAAAATAAATAAAAATAAAGGTTCGGCCACAACGAACTATAAGGTGCGCTACACCAAACTATAAGATAAAGATACTTTTTAGGAGAATTTAATATTTAATATTTTTTTATTAAATATTACCCTTTTTTAAGTATTTTATTTTAATAATATTTTCAAAAATCTTCCGAAAGCGTATTCCCAAGTCCCTAAGGCTAAAAAATGTATCTTTTAATTGTAAAATTTCTCAATATGGTAATTTCCACCAAAAAAGTGTGATCTTCGGGTGTGCTCTGGTGTGCATGGGCGGCAGTACGGACCACGGACCATGGACCATGCCATGCCATGCCATTCCGGATGTGTACAAACCAAACACACACACACACACACTCGGATACCAAAAGATACACACAATCACACACATGACGGTGATCAGTTGGTGTAAAGATTTCAACATAAGGCGAATGTATTGATGGCACTAGTCGGGCAGAGTAAGTCTGGGAAGGGGGGAGGATGGATGGAGGAACTGGAACGGGCCACCGAGTCAAACGTCTCTCGAAACTTGAAAGCCGTGCCCATTGCCCACTCTCGTATCTTGCAGCAGCAACAGCAAACGGAAGTGCACATTCCAAACAGAAAACCCGTTTCCAAGACGAGACACAGCCGGAGAGGGGGAGAGTAGGGGAGTGTAGGGGAGTGGGTAAGCATGTTGGAGAAAGACTGGCTGCTGCTGGCTGCGATGGGGCAACTAATAAATCCGCCAGTGGGTAAAGAGAGCAGCAAGTCCAACATGAAGATGGTGAACAGCATCCTCAAATATATACATTTTTAAGATAATTTCTTTAATAATTCTTTTAAAAAATATTACTAATAATATTTGAAATATTTAAGAATATTATCATAAATGATAAAATAGCATCCCTATTATCTTGAACGTTCCTATCCATCTCCCCCCACCTACCGAGACCAGACAATTTCCCCACCCCTTACCCCCCCACCACACTGTGGGCACACATGTTCGGATTTATCTCACATCTCTCCGCAGCTCGGCTCTCCCGAAAGAAACTTCCTCATTCTCCGGGAAGCGCTTTCAACAAGTGAGCGCCTTGCCGGAGATGGGGCCAGACAGGGATGGCATGAGAACATGAAATATTTGTGGCGGTGGAGTAGGGGTAGGGAAGGGAATAAGAGATGGAGGTGGGAATGACGATGATGATGTTCAAGATAATAATTGTCTTGAATATTTTATTGTGCATGTACATGGCTTAGAGGGGGTCGTTCCGATCCCGATCTCGAACCGATCTATTTGTTTTTTTTTTTTTTTGTGGAGAGAGAGGTAAATGGTGATTGTGCACACCCCACTCCATACACACACACACAGAGACATCTATACAAACGATCCTACGTGTTATTTTGGTTGCCACAACACATGGTTGAGTTTTTACTAAAATAAAATCATATATTCTAGTGCACACATGTTCCGCAGCAGCAGCAGCAGCCCAACAGCAACAACAAAAATAAATAAACATTCGGCTAAAAGTTGGAGTCGGTGGCACGTAGTAAAATGACAAATGTATGCTCATCAGCCCCAGCTACAATAACAAGAATAAGGAAGGCTGGGGCAGGCAGCAACCCAGGAAGAAAAAGCAGCACCCATGCACTTGAAGAAAAATATTAACAAAAGAGCATACAAAGATAAACCTAAACATATACTAAGCAACGGTTTCTCTCAGTGCTCTTAATGCAAGGGGAGAGCCATCTCACGCACGCAATAAGAGTATAAAGAATATTTCTAAATCTCAGCCGGAGGAGGCGCGGCGGCAGAAGAGAACAGAGAGAAGATCAGCAGCACTCACCTCTCACACAAACACACTCACACACCTCAAAAATCAAGCACACAGGTAGTTCAAAATCGGAGGTAAGGTATGCGAACGATCTCGAACCGGTTTCAACGGAAATTACAAACGAAAATTATAAAACGATCAGTTTAGAAAAGAAAGAATAAAAAATGAATGCCTTGGGGGGGTGTGGAAAGGAAGGAAAGCTGGAAAATCCAAACCCAACACACACTTGCAAATGGGTTAAAAGAATGTCGTAGACTCGCCCCCCCTTTTTTTTTGCAATGTTTCCGTTTTCGGCAAGGTGTAAGAAGGACAGAGCGAGGTATACAACAAGAGGGAGGGAGGAGTGTAGGTGCCTTGTGTGTGGGATCGTGGGATCGGAAATGCTAGAAAATGGGACATGGGAGATCGTAAGAGGCGGATAAGGAAGTCGAGGAGGTAAAAAAAAAAAAAGAGAGCTATTGAAAAGAATGGAGAGGATTATGTGAGACTAGGAATCAGATACGATCAACGTTAAACGTTATTACCGGGTAGGGTTACAGCTAATAGGGAAGGAATTAATAAATTATATTTTTAAAATAGTCCTAGCAAGGTCCTAGAAACAGGATTAAGGACTTGTACCTCTCCTTCTGCCCCCTAAGATGACACTCGAATGGCATTTTTGATCCGGCACTCCTAGACGCAGCTGGAATTCTAGGCCCAGCTTGCCAAGTGAATCACTTGCTGAGAGCACCAGTACCAGTACCAGGGCCGGGAGTTGAACGTTAATGAGTAATTTCCGCAGGCGCATCCTCACACAGTGCGTCTCGGAACCCCCGCCACGCCTCTAGACCCCTGACCGGTCGGGTGCATCAAGTGCCTGATGCTGCTGCGCAGTAAAAGAATGATGGGAAAATAAGAAAAATCTGATAGCAACAAGAAGAAGAAGAGGAAGAAGAGCTCGGGTCAGAAGTAAAAAGAGACAGAAGCGACAGCAGCCATGGCGCATTAAGATTAACGGCTCAACAGTCGATCGAAAGGTGGTGAAGAGCTCTATCTCTCTCTCTTGACTATTTTCTCTCAGTGCAGCAATCAGGTAAGGGAGCCAAGAGAATTGAGGAAATGCGTCCGTCCTTGTCCCATCCATCCCCCATTCTCATTCCAATTCCCATCCCCTTTACCTGATCGCACAGGCACTTTGCTTTACATCTTGTGTGTGTGTATGTGTGTGTTTGTAGGACTTCTTGGAAACCCAAGACGGATCTGTTCAGAAAACCATCTCAAAGAATGGAATGGAGAGTAACTGAAAGGAAGAATGACAAGGCGGCATGTGGTGTGGTGGTGGTGCTGTTGCTGTCGTTGACATTTGATCTCTTTTATGAGGTCTTCCTTGAGGCGGGCTCAAGTGCAGCTTGGTTTTCTTTATCTTTGTCTTGTTGTTTTTGGTTCCTGGCCCTAAATCAACCCCTAAAGCCAAGGGATTTGACCCTAGTCCGCAAATAGTCTGTAATTCAATGAGTTCGATTCAGGAGATGGTCTTTTCAGGGACAAGTTGGAAATAAATGTAAGATAATCTCAGCCATCATTATAGATCTGAAAATGGTATGATGGTATGTAGGGGTATAACTAGAACAATGATCCCCACAGTGCCCCTCGAACAGTTATAGATCATTGTTTCAATTAATGAAATTAAAGCTATATATTTTGTAAGCAAATTCCAGTCAACAAACTATGACTAATATTCTGATATTCTGATATATATTTTTTTGCACGTGTATTTCCAAAGTCTAGTTCTCTCTCTCTCTTTCTCTCATATCAAATACCCAATTAATAAGCAAGAAAAAAAAGATATATTCAAAAATCCAAATAGGTAAGTCAACGACCTGCTTTTATAACTGCTCACCCCGTACACTCGTCGCCTCTTCGTATATATTTAAGAAAAAACAACAACAACAACATCGCTCGTAACTCTTGATTTGCCTTAAACCTCCCTCCCCCCACCACCTCCCCCCTCATAGACGCTGCTGAGCGTGCATAACAAGCGCGTGAGCGTATCGTGTTTGCTATTTGTGTTTGCCTTCCATATCATAGTATTGGTATATTGGTACCTCACCCATACGGTAAAAAAAAAGCTAAAAAAAAAAAATAAAAATAATATATAAATAAATAAAGTAAAAACACAAACACAAACAACAAAAAAACGGACGCCAATTCCGGGTTCTTCTTCGAGAAAAAAACAAAAAAAAAAGTATCTGAAGCCGCAGAAACAAAACCAAATGTCTGCGGTTCATTTTCTGTCTAGATCGTCACTTTATATGCTCGGCTTATAGCGCCGTAGGCACTTTTCTTTTGTTTTATTGTTATTCTTCGGTTTTTTACGGTTTTTTTTTTTTTTAGTTTTATTTTTTTGGAGCA